ATCTCTTTAAAAATAATAATTTTTACTAATTTTAGTAGCTAGAGTAAAATTAATCGAAATGTTTTTTTAAATTCAATTTCCAATAAAACGATGTCTCTTTTATATTAACAATATATTAATCATGTAAATTGTTTTTTTTTTAAGTAGTTGATGAGTGTTGATTCTAAAAGATTAAAATAATGAAAACAATGTTCTTGTTCTAATGTACCATCTGTACTTGAGTCCACAATCTGTTATCTATTGATGATAACGATGTATGTGTCTATACTTGTCTACATCACAAAAAAAACCTTTAGTAATATACATATGTGTGAAACTTCTTAGAATAACGACTTAATTTGTTAGAAAAGCAGTTTTTGTTTTAGTAAAAAATTAAACTAACATTATACAAATTTGTAATGAGTCTCTACGTAATAAATATAATTTTATAAAACGACATTTGTCAGTGCGTTCGTGCGTTCTTTAATATAGATAGATAGAGTAATATGTATTTTTATGTGCATTTTAAATATATGAGCCATTTATTATGGTTATCGGTACGGGCACAAAATCCCCTAATTTTCATTAGCAGTATGGTTAAAATTTATGACAAACAAGGAAACAGAATCAGTTGTTTTACAAGAATATGATTGTTTCAAATTTTCCAGCAACTGACTAACCTACATAATATAGTAAACTATGAGCACTGATAGGAAATAAATATGTTATCACTGGTTCTGATATGTTTCATCTTTGAAAAAATATTTGATGATGAGTAGATATTTATTTTATTTACCGTGAGATTCCGTTTAGGTGTATTAGTCAAGATGTAACAAACTATCCCAAATTCAAACTGATACGAATATGATGAGATCTTGTTCACCTATCGCCTTAAATTACTCAAACGCGATCTAGTAATTGTATTTTTCTATTACTTACATTTAATTTATTTATGATTCTACGTGAATCGTGATACGACGACAGCTGTTAGAAAAGTTTCTCAGTATTTACGTTCTTTGTCTGACATTTTTCGGAATGTAATTAGCGAAATGACTGAAGTTTCGCTCTGAAAACAGATTTAAGAAAACGTTTTATGTTTTTTAATCGAATTAAACATTTTATTGACTGATTTATTTGATTAAATATTTACTCTACGTTGAAACGCAATGAGTTATAATGAGCTGTTCGTATGTCGTATTTCCAGGTAGTTTATGCATCACTGATTTCTAGGCAAGAAAGTAGGAAAAGGTGCGGAACAAAGGTTTAAACATCACCTTAAATGTTTTAAATGAGTAGGTTTTAATGTATAATCTTGTTCTTTTAACTAAACTGTCTTCATAAATTGCTGGTAGGTAGTTAATGGATCAGTCGGATGATTATGACCTACTTTATTAGACAAAGTGACGCCACTTTAAAATTTAATTACCGCTTGTTAAGTTTAGCACCTCTTTTAACCAATCACGTAATTAATTGAGTTATTTTAAGATCCCTCATTTAAAAAGTTCGTTGAATTTTGCCTTCAGACCATAAATAAAATTCGGAGACATTAATTGAAAATAAAAGATGAGAAAAACGTTTATACTGTGACTCTGCGCACAGAAATTTGTTATTCTAATTTTTAAAACAACAGTTAGCCGTTTTCTCAAAATTTTAAAGAACCGCTAAGAACAACTGATTTTTCTTGTTATACGCAGTTTTAAAAATAAAAGAATAATATTAATAACAGAAGTATCTAAGGACGAACTAAATTTTCTTTACATATTTTTCTCAAATTTAATATTTACTTTTTGAAAAGAAGTCAATACAAAAACCAAATATGCCGTAACTATGATTCGGCAATTTCAGGCCAGCTGAATCAGCCGTTTTTCATTACTGAGATAACTGCGATAGGTGTGTTCATAGATTTTTTTTTTTGAATAAACAGTATGCGCTTCAGGGCATTTACTCGTATTTCAAAAAATAATTTCAAATTAGTTAACATTTTGTGATCCCTGTTTCGTACTATAACCCTTAAAATAAAACGTATAGACAAATTTTGATTAGCCTGTTATCATCTACAACATAATCATTAAATACTCTTAAAATTTGGAAATAATTGATTCGACAATTTTGGGGATTCTAATAAAAGTTGTTAGCGCGCTAGACAGCCAACAAAACAAGCTGTGAAATGCCATAAAAATGAAATTAGATATTCGTTAAAATAACGAATTCAAATATCGTAAATAGCTCATTTTCACCATTTCGTCACTTGGGTTTATCTTGACTGTTACTAATATTTGTTTACAATAGTTTACACATTATGATCTGACACTGTGTTTGTGTAAGGTAATTTGTACCGGTGATAAAATCTAAATTGTTTGGTTAATGATTAATGTTGTATTTACGTTTCGTTTCATACACAATAGAAGTTATTGTTTTAGTATTACCAAAACATAATTCTAATCCAAAATTAAACGAAGATAATTCTACGATAACCCCAATTAAAAAAAAAGCCCAACAGTGTGGAGAACTTCCGGTTTTTAGTCTGACGATTTTTCTAGCCTAAAATTAGATCCATTTAAATTAGGAACAACGTTTTTTCTTGGTTTTATTATGCGTTAGTAACATGAAGCAAACGCCATTACCAACAAGTTACCCACATTTTTACTGAGTACTAAAATTATACAGGATGTTTCATGTTAACTAGACGATGAATTAACTTCCAAACTACTGAATCATCTACTTATCCAACTTCTTCCTATCTTTAGACATAACGTTTTGTGTTATGACTTATTACATTTAGTTGAAATAATTCTGAAGAACTAAACTTGTACCTCAAAAAATGACACAGCCATTTGTAACAACGGTGTGTTTTTATCATATCTATATCGACCACTACGTGATCTTAAACTTCCCAAACCCAGTTCAACAATTCTTGTTGATCGCTTTATTCCCCGATCGGCCCTTGTGACATATGTACGTAAATAAATAATTATCTTATGATAGAGGGCAAGAAAAATTACGTTCTTTTGTACACAGTTTTTTTGAAATAAATGAATCAGTATTATGCAGGTGTTTTTAAAATTAATATCGAATCCCACGAGCAGTATAACGTCATAACAAATAAAAATGTCATAAATCAGGATAAGCTCAGTTGCCTGCACTGCGGAACAGTTTCAAAACATATTTAAAGTCATTTTTTATTAACCAGAACATAAAAACACCCCAAGCCCTCAGTGTATACAAACTAGTTTTAATGTATGTATTTCCTATGATATACATTTTAGCTATTAGATGGGAAGGTTTTCTTTGTAAACTCCAAAGTCTGAAAACGTACAAACGATTTTTTAATAAAAAACGTTCGCATGTGGTAACAATGAAATCGGAACTACCATTTAAATCTAAAGGTTTTTTGTTTCAGTTAGATATACGTACTAGATTACTGAATATGTCAGTAATTATTGCTGTGTTGTTTAGAGAGAAAGAGGTAATCAATGCAAAAAGCAACACTTACGGCACCAAGAAAAAAGCTATAAATACATATTTTATTGTTAGACCCATATAATAAGAATGATACTATTAAAAGTGGGAGTGCTGCCACCAAAATCTAATACAGAATTTTATGGAATATTTTTGTATAAGGCCGGAGATATCTATACTACATAAAAACCAAGTTTAACGAGATGTGAAATAATATACAAAAATACTGCTATTTCCTAGACAAGATCCATATCGGGGGATAAGTGGCTTGATATGGTTAAAATTGGGAAGTCCTCACCCTCATAGCCTGACTTGTTGCATGGATCGACAGTAAAGGGCAAGGAGTTCACTCAAGAGTAGAGAAGTATTCGTCACCCCGTCTTTGCCTTCAATTTTGAAAGTCAAATGGAATTCCTAATATACGTTTTACATGCTGAAAGTTCATTCTACGAGATGGATAGGACTCGATCTTTTTATGTACGTTACAGACTACTAGAACATATTACAAAAATTGCTTTAAAGTTATTCAAAAACAATTTTCATCGTCTCTAAAGCATAAATAAATCGGTTCATACATCATCTGATAGCACAAAAACACGTACTATTAAAATACCAGCAAGACTCGTAGTAGTAAATCTTAATTTAATCATTGCTTGAAATGCCGTTGCTGATTTTTCAGAGGAAACGAACGAATCAAGGATGTACCAAAAATTTCCACACTATGTTGCATGTTTCAAGCTAGCTTTTCGTACATCCACTAATGGTCCCAAAATTTCAGGAAAACATTATTAATTATTAAACCACGGGTACAAGGGAATATCACAATATAAATTTTAAACCATATTATACTCAACAAAACTTCTAGAAAACGTCATCAAACTTGCTGGGGATGAACAGGCAAATTTTGGTTAGCGTTTTACCATCTACATGAGAATACTAAAATACACCTCGAATTTCATAGTAATATGTTCAGTAGTTTTGAAAATTATCTAAATCTAATCTAAAACTGAGGAAGTGAGCTGATATTTTGCATAAACATTTTTTTAAATCAATACATTAATTACATAATATATGTATTATTTTATTGTCTATGTTTTCTTTGGTATCGTCTCTCTGCTATTCGGTAAAAGGTACAAACTTCGATTTTTAATGATTGAAACAAAAAATAAGCCGCTGTTATCTTTTTAAAATACCTCTGTTTTCCAATTAACAATAACAAATATTTGAACGTTAGCTGCGTAGCATACAACATGCCAACTTTATCTGTATAAGTATCATAATCACTGTTATTTCTATTTGTTAAATGTCAGAAAATATATCAACCACTATCTACACAACAAAAATAAGTTTTGTGGAAATGATTACACAAACAGAACTATATCTGCATTTGCGGTTGGTCCAGGAATTGCACAAATTCCATGCATGTCCTCATTCTACATGAAAACATCTCATTAAACAGATTACTAAATTTCTTTACGTTGCATTCTTTGTTTTTAAACCGGAATTACGTACACTAACACTTATATCTATTTCGCAGATATAAATGAAAAATAAAAACTTACCTTTCTCACGTAGGAAGCCTGGGGATGATGTTTTACGGGCATAAACAAAAGCTTGATACGATCGAAGAACTGAATCCCATCAATGGAAGCCACACCCATATACAGAAAAACCCCAAGAAGTACAGCCATTGGAACGCATTGCAACAACGGAGACATCAGTACAGAAAGTCCTATCAATATAGAAACCGTCAAAGCCGAAATTCTTTGTTCTTTGACTTCTATCAGATGGGGTTTTTCACCGGGAGCATGAGTTCTTGACATGACAGTTAAAGCAGAAGTATGAGCAATTGAACGTACAGTGGCCGCACATATCCACGGAAGGCCGAAAAATCCACACAGGATATTAATCAAACATATAAGTACTATATCCAAATGAAAACCACTCCCTTTTTTCAGTTTTCTTTCCTTTTTGTCGATAATCAATCTGAAATAAATGGGAGTGTTAGTTTTGGTTTATAGAAGTAATGAAAGGTAAGGACGTACTCAGCAATGTGAGTTTCCATAAACAGAAGAATGTAGACAAGCATTGCTGGCACTGCTGCGGCGAACATGATCCACACGGGCACAGGATCTGTAGTACTACTAGGTGGTATGAGCCACCCTCTCTTTTCGGATCTTGTTGGGGAGAGGCCTTCAGGCACGTTCAGTTTTTCCGTATACGTTTGTGGAATCATGTAGTCGACAAAAACCATTGTTATTATCGCTATTGGGACACCAAAATCGCCCAGCGCACGTCTTGCCTGAAAAATCCAAATGACAAATGTTGTATAAATCTGATCATGACGAATAATTATTTGTGTAAAGGTGTGGGTAGTAAGTGAGAGATTTTTGGCACAAATAACATCATTTTGTCCTGCCTTATATAAAAGTGTTTTTTACATTTCCAATGGAATATTTAGAACGATTACTTTACTTTTTAATCTATACTCTATATGTGGCTCACTTTTCACCTTTCTCTCTTTTTCGTCTCAGCTAGTATGTTAATTGTAACAAATGTTTTAATACTTGATTTATTACTAAATGTAGTTGTCGATCATTTAAAACAAAACTTAATCTTAATGGTTCAATTTAATTTTTTTTTTTCAATTTTAACTGAATTTTTCGGGTTACAACATCCAGATGTTTTTCCATTCATAACAGTTAGTTACATTTATACATACTAAATAAAAAATATACTCGTCGTTTTCCTTTACAGTAGCACAAAAATGTATTATCAATATTATCTTACTATCTAATCTTGAATAATTTAAGTCATGGAACACAAACATACGTAAAAACTAAAAATAAAAATACAATAAGACTTTATAATAATTTGTTTAACAAGTATGTCTGAAAAAACTGTAGATATGGAGCAGGGGTTGTCATACCAAAAAATGAAAGCAGTAGAATCAAATTTAGCAGTTTATTTGCGCTTCGGAGACGAAGGAAGTTCTGTTTAAACAACTCCAGACCAATTTTTACTTTCCGAGCGCAAGCTAAGAAAGTATAGTAATAGAGTCCATTGGGCGACTTGCCACTTTCATGTTTTCGCAACGTTTCATGACCCCTGAAGTATGAAAAAAGTGATCTCCCGTTTCCGTCTGTCTGTCGTCTGTGTTAATTTTTATTAGACAGATGATCTCCGAAACTACTGGACCGACTATTCTCAAATTTTGTATGTATATATTAGGAATATCATATCTTTTATTGATCAAATTGAGATCGACTCACCCCATTTTCCCGAAAATTTGGGAATAAAGTACTGTTATTATTAGCATTACACTGTATCTATATAAATTGATAGACGGATTCATACACCACAAGTGCAGGAGTATTTATTTTATAATATTCAAAACAAATTTTAAACTATTAAACTTATACTCAGGAAGTAAAAAGTTGCCAATACAAAAAACAAAATTTTGCTCCAGATATCCCATTTCGAAAAGGTAAACTTTCCTTCGCCAAAAAAAGTTAAATTGTACGAATTTACAACTAAAATAGTTGCAAAACCGAGTCACTATAAAAATGGACTTTCTGTAATTACACAGTTCCTGGTAGAACGGTCTTCATAAAATTCCATGGTTGTAATTGATACTTGAGCAACTGTTTTTTAATAATGCGCAAACATTCACTGAATTACATAATGTATCTTTCTTACTGTACAACAAAAAACTTGTGATTTTTTTCTTCTGCCGCCTTCGACGTTATTTTTTTTTAATCTTGGGCAATCAAAAACATCAAAAGTAACACTACAATACAATAACAGAGGCACTTCAGAAATGTCTTGAAATAAGATTTACTAAACAAAGTTTTTGAAATAAGATTGTCGAAAATCTTTATGGGGATAAAAATTTCACAATAATTACCATTGCCAATAAATCGATTCACTTTTTTTTTCTAAGAAACTAGCTGTACGCAAAAGTAAAAATAGGACAGATTGTTATACCACAGATAAAGGATTTCAAGTACATTTCCATAACAGAATTTTGAGATGACGTTGTCCATTCTTTGGATGAAACTATGTATTTTCATCATAATTCTAAATCGCTACGGTAATTTCGGAGACTGTTAAAAAAAATCATGGTAGATCGATTATGAATACACGAATTGAAAATCTAAATTTCCGTATTTTATAGAAGGCCCAAAAAATAAGAACTTACAATCGTCGATATGAATACTTTCCCAAGTTTTCACTCAAGTAAAACAAATAAATAAATAGAGTGCATGAATCCACAGCAGATAAATCTACAACAACGTAAGTAATTGTATGGTTTGTTCAGACGTAGACGGCAGGGTTTGAAGAGGATGCCCATTGAAAAGAGAACAGTTACGTTTGTTACATCCGATTTGCACCGCCCTATGCGAAATCGATTTAACAGTGCAGTGACGTCTGTTGCACAAGTTGTAATGAATGTAGACATTAAGAGCACGTTGCACATTTAATACTGATTCAGTTCATTCGGAATCGAATACTTTGTATTGTTCAGACCTTCCTTACGACGTCGTTTTTACAGCGACTTCTACAATTTTCCAGCTGTTTCACTTTTGCTAATATTTTGAATTCTTTTTTTTCGAAGTATTTTCAGTTTGGGCAATCCAAGTAGAATTCTGGATCACTTATTAATGGTTTCAGCAACGTTAATGCGACGTTTTGCAAATGATGATGATTAAGACACCGAATTTTAAACTAGTGTTGATAAAGTTAATTAGAATCTGTTCAAAGAGCCATTAGCTGCAACCGCTACCCTTCCACCCGGAATCTAAAATGTCTTATCAATCGATCTGGTTGAAGTTTCGAGCTCGGCTTCTGTGTGAAAATCCGTGTGGCATATTAGATAAGTGTGGAAAGACGGCATTCGAAAAACCAAGTGTAAAAAAACCGAGCCAGACGTAGGTTTCAGCGAACTCTGGATCCAGACCGCGCGGAGGCCAAACGGTTAGTGAGGGAGGTCCGGCACCGTCTCGCGAATTATTGCGAATAATGGGATCGACGACTGGCCAAGTTATCGGCGGAGAACCAGTCATTGTGGAGAATGGCTTTAGCCCCCCGATTCGGGAACACGCCGCCGTCAGTCATGTGAAAAGCATTCACCGAGGGGCTCGACTGCAAAGCGAATAGTCAATACAAAGATATTACTCATACCGTCCTGGCCATGAAAAAAGTGAAGGGAAAATTTGAGAATACACAAGAGACCATTGAAGGATATAAAAGCGGAGAAAATGAGTCTATTAGAATAATATTCTATGCAAACCTAAAGATGTTTGAAATTAATTTGTCGACTCTATCAGGGAAGCTACTCTAACGATATTACTGCTAATCTGGACGGATTTATTAATATGTCCAGTAACACTTCGTCTGTGTTTTTTCTAAAGATGAGTCGGAAGTTAAACATTAAAAAGGAATTAAAGCAAATTTAACATGCGGTCGTTTTTTTGCTTAACGATTGTTCTCTATCTTTGCCTATCCTCTACTAGTTACATTTAATTTGTTTTTGACGTATTCGTGTTTTCCAAATGTTTGTTACAATTTTCTTGAGATAGTTTCTATCGTTCAATTTTCGAAGTCAATTTTATAAACGGACTATCTACAGTTTACAGTAATCAATCTTAGTTATTTTATTCAGTTCGTGTTAACAGCTTTAATGATCAGCAACAAGCCGATGTACTTAGTTAATGCAGAGTTTTCCAAGGTATTTGATAAATCAAATCATTCTATTTTATTAGTGAAATTGAGAATACTGGTATCTCGGAGTATTTGGTAAACTTAATAGTGTTATCTGTCAAATAAATTTCAGTTTGTGAGTACCTTAGGGATGATTCAGAAAAGGTTTCAGTAACTTCAGGAGTTCCCTAGGGCTCTATTCTAGGCCTGTTACTTTTGGTTATCTATATTAACGACGCGATGCCGTGAAAAGCATCCATTCAAATCCACTGATGTATTCCGATGATCTTAAAACCTCGACGTATATGTTCTCGTAAGAATTGTTTCATACTTCAAAATAGCATTAACTTATTCTACAACTGCAGTTCATAGAACAATCTATGTTTCAGGTTTTTAACGAAGGAGAATTCTGCGGTCGTCTATAATTACACAAACCACTCTCTGACAATAACTCGGGTTGTTTCATTTTTGGACTTCGGAATATTATTTGATTGGAAACTTATGTTTTCTCTCCATATAGGTAACATAATTACTGAAGCTCTAAAAAGCCTTGGGTTTATCATAAAATGTAGTCGTTACTTTAATAATATTAACACATTAACACAGTCATTATTTTATACTCTGCTTTTGATAGGTCGCACTTAGAATACAGATGCATTGCATGGTCTCGAATCCTCTCAAACTCGTATTTGTGTATTGTGAAAATCCAAAAACGGGTTCTCAAGTTTCGGGTATTTATCATTTGTTTCATTCGTTATAAAATTGGCTGCCCACAAGTTGTAAGTTACCTTTACTTTTGTAGTAAAGATAAATCTTATGTTCTTAGTGTGAAGAGCAATCTGTTCTCTTCACACTAAGTGTTGGGGGTAATAACACGCCAACATCAATTGGAATCAACACTCGGGGGCAATTTTTTTGAATACAGCCAACCTCATCAAAGCCGGATTTTCACCCGTTCTAGTCAAGATGGTTTGCCGTGTTTGAAATCGAGGACTTCTGAATAAATATGAAACTGGCTGTGCTTTAAAATTACTATTTTCGACGTTTTTCTGTTATTTTCACACGCGACTCCCTAAGATTCGCAAACGGTATATACAACAGTGCTCTAGTGAACGACGCGACTACATCATCCGGAAACTCCAAGCTACAGACAATTGACGAGGGCAGCGCCGTTCTGTTCCCTAGAAACAAAACACGGAAGAAACAGCGATCGATGTGTCGTTTTGAAAAAGCCATCATATTCCACATTCTCTTGTGGGATGGCTTTTATGAAAGACCGGAACAAAATATTTGGGAGCTGTTCTCCACCATGGCATGTAATTGGAGGTGTACACCCAGTAGGGTCACAATAAAGCGAGAGAATGTTGTAGTTGATGATGATCGTATGGTCGCGACATCGACGGGGGCGAATTATTGGGACAAGCGGCACCTGCCGTTGTCAAGAACTAATCAACATTACTATTGACGTCATTGGTGGAGACTCGTTGAATAATTGGAACTTCAAATTCAAGAATCTATATCTTAAGAACATTTACCATTATAAAAGAAACTATTAAGAGTTAAATAAAAGTATTTTCAAAATGTCAGTTAATTTCAAGGATTACATACGACTTTCCAAAGTAGTTTAATTGAGACTAGAACCTACATCGTTTAGGTTACATGTCAGACGAAAATGTAACAAGTTATAGGTTACAAATATATATAAAATCAGTAAGTATATAAGCTTCATTTATTCTAGTTTTGTTGCCAAATTCTAATTAGTGGTTACACCTAATACTATTTTTATTTATTCACGATGCATTTGTAAATTCCAAGCCCACAATGCAGAAAATAAATATTTATAAACATCATTCTCGACGTCTCAACAGTCAGTGAAGAGAGAAGTATGTAAGTTCAAAAAAAAAAGCTAAACTATACTGTTAAAAGTAAACTTTTGAGCTTGAGTCCTAGACCTGTCAGTTTAATAAAAATAATAACCGAATATTTAGAAGAATTCATTACTAAAACGTTTTTCCGCTGATTATGTATGAAGAACTTCATACATAATCAATAACTTCATTATTTTTAATGACAGGAACTTTATGCTAGCGTACATACTACTGGAGTTGTGATGAAACATTGTTGTCTGACAATTTGATACACATTTTTGTGCTATCTCTAAGGAAAGAAAATTATTTATTTCTTTGTTGTTCATTACTATAATTAGTGAGAAATGTTGCAGAACTACAACATCAGGAGTACAAACAATATTGAAATCACTGTAAAATCTACAACGTGATTAATAAAAGTTTGCCCATCAAATTGGCTCGATAATTTACGTGTTGAGAGAGGTTGTATGAAAATCTGAACATCGATTTTGGTTTTCCCGGTATTTTTCTAAATAAATGTACCTGAAAATTTATTTGTTGCAGTTTACATTAGCCAGTTTGATTTATAAAGGTTGTTTGTTTTATGTTTAACTAGGTACATGTCGACTGAGCGTACAGTATTTCATACCTGATATTGGCAAGTAAAGATGGAGAGAACAATTTGACTGCATATTTCTAATCCATTCATAACTAGTCATCGAACAAAGCCGGTGGTAGTAAATTTTGTGAAAAATGTCCAATGTGAAAACAACTTTAATAAATTCATGGATAAAAGATTAGGTATCCTGAATTTATTTCAATCGACGAAAATGTTTTCCGCAAAGTATGTGGGAAAACGGTAAGTGCTTTTTTAAAATTTATATTGCATATTTTCTAATAATACTGTTTCAACCTTTTTTTGTCTTAAAATTAAAAATTATTTTTTCGATAACATATGATATGAGCGCAAGGTTCAAATATCATAACATATTTGTGTCAAAATCTCCACGAATCAAAACTGTCGCAAATTTCCTTGGAACAATTTCTTACCCGAACTTCAAAGTAAAATGAACAGCAAGCATTTTTGATTCAGATCTATGTAAAATGATGCTTGGTGCCAATATTCCTCTTAAAAAGTTGCAAGACCCTTGTTTCAGAGCGTTTTTAGAAAAATATTGTAAAAATGTTATACCGAATGTATGCTGAGAAAAAATTATATACCAGATGAGTATTTACAATGAAACTATGTATTTGTAGAATTAAAGAAATTGTAAAAAAATATATACATATATATTTTGTAGTCGATGAAAACTTGTGATGCTTGAGGGCGTTATAATACCAATCTACATGTAGGTTGATAAAGGGTCAAGTAAATCTTAGGAGTATTTTATTGCACGCAAACAATTATTTATTATATAGATTTATTAATGAATCTTTCATGAATTTGTTTTTTCCTGATGTTATTGCGACAGACAAGATTTTAATTACATTGTCTGCTTCAGCGGCATATGTAGTTAACTCCGCTCAACAACTTAAACTTTTATACCCTAATCTGATTCACGTTACATGTTTGGCGCAAGGATTAAACCGAGTTGCTGAGAAAATTAGGCAACAATTCCCAACTGTAAATTCGTTAATAAATAATGAAAAAGAAATATTTGTAAAGTCACCTTTGAGGATACAAGTATATAAAGGAAAGTTGCCACCACACCCGTTACCCGATGAGGTGCTTGGTTAAACGCCACAACTTTTTACGATGAACATTTCGAATAAATAAAAAAAAATATTTTAGAATTTTCAAATGACAACAGTGCTATCGCAATATGTCATTTGTGAACGAATAAGTATTCATTAAAACCACTTATCAATTTATTTCGGCGACGATTACAAAACTAGAAACAGAGTGCACGCCCTTAATTGAATCTGTCCGGTTAAGGAAAATTTTTTAAACCAATACTTTGAATGTTTCAGGAAAAATAGGCGATTCTGTAAGTAAAAAATCCGAGATGGCAGGCAGACAGACGGAAACGGGAGACCTATTTCTTCGTACTCTAGGGATCATGAAAGGTCGAGAAAACGTAAAAGTAGAGAGTCGGTCGACGGACTCGATTACAATACTTCCTTTGCTTACGCTCGGGAAGTAAAAAGTAAAAGAGGTAATTAATGAAATTACTGGTTACAAGGTCCTCAAAACATTAGTTTAATTTCAAGTGGAAAATCACTACCATTTTCTTCATACAAAATGTTATTGACACACGGAGGTAAAATTTTTACAATGGAAAATTTGGAAAAAAATTTCACTGTTAATTGTAACAGCAAAAAATATGTATTTTGTAACGTATTTATGCTATATGTAAAAATATGTTATAAATAATAGATGTAATTATAGACATTTCTCGTGTTTTTTTGTTTGAAGTTTATTGTTCTTTCTGTCCGGGTCACGGGAAGTACACTGCATGTGCATTGTGCATAAAACGGCATATTTAGCAAAAATTGTTCATATTTCGACGAAATTTTGGGCATATTTTAACAAATGTTTGTGCAATTTAATAAAGTTAGATTGTCAATCAAATTAAATAATAGAGCTTTCGAAAATAGATCGTGAAGCTCTGTACAAAAAGGCAGGGAAATTTGGTCTATCTCAACAGGTAGTACAAAATGTTAGGTAGGAAATCAAAAATCATCCCTCGAAAAACTTTGTGAAGGTGTCTTTGTACACTGATGTTCTTTTTGCAGTTGTCAAAAGGCTGAGAAGAACATTCCACACTTTCATTCCTACGAAATCTGTTGCCATCAGATTATGAACACCATGAGTATTGCACCTGGTCCGAAAATAAACAACAATAACATATAGGACGTATTTTGTCCAGTAATGAGGCATGTCAATTCACAAATTACAGAATCGGATTATGAAGTAATGAAAACCCTCATGCGGTTATGGAAGCGTCTTTGCATCCACGTTAGAAGTCTCTCGTCGGCGTATAACTAATCAAATTTTCTTCCAGTTCCTGCTCAAATGCATAGAAAATGGATTTTTGATTTGTTGGGGCCCCAGCTTATCCTATGCGTGAAATGATAGAATACTTTCAGAGATACCTTGATAACCGGATCAATACCAGAAAGATAAATATCCTTTGGACAGTTCGGTCGGCAAATTTAACTTCTCTGGACTATTCCATTTTTATGTACATCAAACAAAAAAAAAAGTTTTTAAACACAACACAATGGGAGCCACTTTGAACATTTCTTGTAAAAATGTTTGATTGAATACAACTAAAGCCCGCGGTAATCACACAATATTCTTATTTATGTTAGTTTTGCACTGTAATACAGATTGTTCACTGAAATATGTAAACGGCACATTTTCATTTAAAATACAGTGACAGATTTTTATAAACCACCTTGACAGAGAATATTTTATAATCAGCCTGTATGCTTCGGGTATTGTGACCTGAGAAAATCATCTACAATACCAATTATTGCTTTACAGCTCATTTGCCACGACGTTAACTTTTAACTTAAATTTAGGGCAAATACGAGTATGGTTTAACTTTTTTTTGTTTTCCGGGTATAAAGTTCGTATTTAATTTAATTTTTAATTACCGTCGCCTCAAGGGTCTTCATGACTTTTCAATTGTTAAATATTTCTTTCTAAAATACCGATACAATGTCCACAATTCATAAAAGCCAGGTACAAAAAATGACGCAATTTATTTATACCTACTCTTCGCCTCACACTACACTGACATCAATTTCCGGTGTTTGCAACACAAATAACTCTTTCACCTTTTTGCATGAATATATTTGAAACAACTTTTTTGTTCGAATTTGATGTCACGACTTTTTTGTTTTTATAGTAATGAGAAAAAATTTACTTACACTCCTCCCTAGGAACTGGCTATTCCGAAACATCTTCAAATAGTAAGCAATTGCGAAGGTCCCTAGCGTCAAAATAGTACAAAATAAAGCTGTGTTGGGTTGATTGATTGGTCCAAAGTTATCGTGCGGCGTGGGTAGCTTCTTAATCGACGTCACAGGAAACGAAATCGTATTCGCCGTATTTTTTATACCGATTGTGTCATTTACTGAAACGTTATCTACGCGGAGATATTCAGGATATGATTTGTTTGTGGCGTAAGGGTATTCCGATTTACAGTAATCTGCTAAAAGTGGATGTCTACCGTACTCTAAAAACAGTTTCATAATACTTTCAATTATGTAAAGTAAAACAATGAGCGCCGAGAAAATGTCTTCTGTGAAACGAGTGAATAATTTCACCAAAACGCTTCCTTCTAAACAGGCAACAACTAATCCTATTACGCCTAACCAGAGTCCGACGTACACACGTGTTGATAAAAATAGAGACTCTATGTCATTCGCTTTACAAAATTGATATAAACTTTCATCAAACAGGAGTAGTGCCCCAGTACTACCCACAATCACAAGAGGTTGGCCGGAAAATAGTGCGAAAATCACTCCTGCGACGCAAGTACACACTAAAGTCTCAGATATGCCCATGAAACCGTCGGTCTTCGCTCCCATGAGGCCACCGAAGGCTATAGCGCCTGACACCGCCGCGAAATACATAAAAATTGAAGCCGCCAAACATTGAGCGTTAAGTCCATCCGTAATGTCACTCTTATAATACGGATATCTGCGTTTCAAATCGTTAAAGAGGCCGCCCCACGGCTTCCGAGTCCGCTCCAGGGGGTTAGGAAAGGGCGGTTTCTTCTCATCGTCACCGGCCAAGATAGCTTTCGTAACTCCTTGCGCTTCTGCGACCGACTTCAGCGCGTTTTCCTTTCTTCTTCTGATCTCCTCGCTCTTGGCCTTTATTTCTTCAATCGGGAGCAAGGCCTGCCGCTCCCAGTCGCCCGGCGGAAGCACGATACTGTCATCTAAAAACTCATTGATAGCCGAAAGCAGGGCTTTACGGTTGCTTGCCCCGTAGGCGATGTTGTGGAACTGTTGATTGGCCATCAGAGTCGAAATCGATCTGCCCACTTCGTGATAGTCTAAATTGGCTTTCTTGGGTCCCAGAAGAATGAAGATAAATCTCACAGGTATGTTGACTTCAATAAGGGAGGGAATCACGACTCCCTCAGCGAGCCTCACGAATGCCATCGCGGGCTGTTCCAGGAAATCAACTTCTCCGACAAGGATGCTTGAACTTTGGGCCCCCGGAGGAATCCTCTTCAGAATGGCGTCGTTGCGTGCTTTTCGCACGTCATCTGAGCTGGCAGAATACGTCTCCTCCTTTATGTCGACGACAGTTTGCGCGTCTGGACTCACCAGACGGCTGCCAGCGTCGTTTGTCCCTTGGCCACCGTTTTTGTAAGCGTCGGCGGCGTGGCTTATCTTCCTTTTTTCGGCATCGTGGAGATTCTAAATGAAAGAAAAAAAGAAAATTAGTGGTGTTACAAGGATGAGGTGTTTCTAATTGTTTTAAGAGGGAATTAGAACGAAACAAAAAATAATTAATTTAAATAAACTTTGGAAAGAATAAAAATGTAAATGAACTTCAAAAGCTTAAAAATACATTAATTAATTTTGATAAACCCTGGAGATTTTCATTTAAATTGGCATCGTGGAATTCAATTTAAAACTTTAGAGTGGGCATTACCCAAGTTTGTCATTAGTCTGTAATCCATACCTGTGCAGGGCCTTTACTTTATTTTTCGATTTCGTTCCCTGTTGTATGAAAACAGAGGGGCATTTTTCATCCTCTTCTGATCGTTAACTCATATGGTGCACGCTTAGTTAACACAAGCAATGAAACGTTTTAAAATACATCTTGCTAAAAACTATACATGCTGTTAAACTCACACAGGGGTGAAAGTTTTATTTTTCGTTTGAAAAGATAGTAAAATATGCGCAGATCCTGACGAACAATACGTGGTGGAATATAAAAGAAAGTACAAAGCTGGTGGAGCATTAAATATAGCACATGAAAATCCGTGGGACTATAAAGCACAGAATATATATCGATCTCTCAAAACATCAAAAGGTTCACTTTGTGAATGTTCTCAATTACCGTAGAAATCGCGACTCGGTAACCGAACACGTATGACTTCATACGATTGCCTACAACTTTCATTTTAGTAAGGATTCTCATCAAAGAAAATGAGAAAAAATGAGTCGAATAGCTATTTGAAATAATAAAAAGATTTTTAACTCCTACTACACGAATGAAATTGCATTACCTCCATAAAGACCAATATTCATAAAGTGGGCAATGACTTCATAAGAGTCAAAACTTTGAAATTTATTTATATATATACAGGAGGAGTCACTAAGAGCGCAGTCCTCGATATGTCACAAATTATAAAAAACAGCAATAAAAGTCAAATACCAAAGTACGATTCTTCGAGGACCACACGCTAAAATTATTTTCAACTATACAGAGTGTTTTATTTTTACGGCGTAACACAATCTGGTTTTTTCAAATAAAATATCCTATATTCATTACTTATTGTGATTGACTTCTTCTTAGGATTTATAACCACTGTTTATTTTCGAAATTTCGATGCGACGTTGCCACGTTATTCCGTTTTTTTTTTAATATTTTAATAATGGCTCACAAAAAAATTGCAATAGGCTTGAGTTTTAAAATACAAGAGCGCTTAAAAAAAATGTTTTTTTGGAAGTATTTTTTATATTTAAACTTAATAGTTATTGTGTTTTTTTATTTTTTTAAGAGACACGCCTACATATCGAAGAGAACAAAAATAAAGTCTTTGAAAAACTGAAATATCGATATTTGAAAATTGCCACGTTGTAGATTTTTTATAAACCGTCTGTATATTAAAATTATATTTAATGGATACCGTAATAAAGCGCATAGCTGTGTTTACCTTTTCATAAAAGACATAAAATATTGTAACACAGATCTTAAAAATAATATAACATGGGAATTTCAAAAACAAACTATGGTTATACAGCCTAAGAAGTGGCTAATGACAAGAGATAAAAATATATGTTCAGGATATTCTCTTTAAAAAAAATAAGTTGTGTGCTATACCTCAAAAACAAAACAGTATGTATTATAGTCGAAAATAATTTTATATATATATATAGTACACTAGCTCTCTATATTAGTTCTTTATGTATCGTGCCTACGTGCGTTGATCACAGCCTCCCTTTATCAAAAAACTTTTGGAACATACTGAACATTAGAACGTAAATGGAAGATCGATATCAACAAAAAGTGTCAAACTTTCTAAAATTAATTCTTTTCTGGTACACTTTTAAACATTACTCAAACGAACTGAAACTTTGCAAATGTAATTAAAAAATTAAACAATAATTAAAAAAAGGGATAAATATTTAAGTGCAAACCCTCACTTTACGTTTAATGTAATAAGTAACCCCAAGTAACAGGAGACGTCAAACTGAAGGGTGACTTTAAAATATCGTACACCAAGTTGGCGTTGGAAAATCTGTCACTGCATTTTTAATAAGAGTTTGTCGCATCTACGAGGTAGGTAGCAATTTATTATTAATTAGTGGTTGCCTACCTATTAGACACCAAATATCTACTGAAAAAGCTTAATAAAATTGGGTTATGATTCACATTTGCGAGGCGACGATGAGCACTAATCAATCATCACCACGAGGTGGCAAAATTCGCGAAATTTCAAAGCCAATTTGATGTATAGTGGTTTGGAAGTTTCATAGGCCGCGAGCAAACCGCGATCTCCCGCGTAGGCTGAACTAATGTAGAATCAAGAGAATTCGGGTTTCGTTTTGAAATACGTTGCTAAAATAATTCCACCCTACATGCATTAAACCGACAATTGTCACTACATTGTTGACATATTGGATTGATCCACACAAAAATGAGGAAAACACAAAATAAACATGTGGACATTTTCAAGATCATTTGTGAAGTTTCGTCTGGTCGTTTACCGAACACATGGAGTGAGCGTCCAAGCTTACATAGTAACATCAAAATTGAATTGAAATTTCGGCAGGATGATATTTTTGCTTGTTTATAAATGCATCTTATATTACTTGTTTTCGAAATAACATACAGTATGATCCAAAATGTTTCCGACAAAAAAATGTTCTTCTTGCAATTTCTAGAGTTTGTAAACTGAAAACAGTGGTGAAAACCGCGTTTCACAATTTTCATAATTAATTGAGGAATTGACTTTTAAAAATACATCCTGAAAATCTATTGAACACCCCATAAGACCTAACCTTTTAATTAGTTCCCTAAATAGACATCATAGTCAGTCAACGACTAATTATACTGTTCCAGGGCTTTATTGTTGAAATGTCAAACAAAAAGTTTAAAGTACCTGTACCAATATAAACACAAAAAATTATGAATGATCATCGATGCATTGAAAAACAAATTGCTAAATATCATTGTGAGGGAATTTTTCAGCCGAGAGATACCACAAAAAAATGCCCACGCTCCATACAACTCTAATATTGACTTATCGTACGTCATTGTTAAAATCCATTCTATTATATAAAGAGAAATTTCAATAAAGCGTATCACGCGAACCGGAGGCTTCACGAATGTCGCAGAAAATTTCGTAATCGAAGATTTATATTATGATGGTTCCCGATCCCAGCATTGTTAAGTTCCGACGCAACTTCATTTTTATGGATCATAAAAACAACACACGAACTTGTCAGAAATTACCCTACCTTATCCCATTATCTTGTGTGATAACTCTGTTTTAATGAAAACAGATGAGTTTTAAAATTATTTTTACACTCTCATTCAAAGCATGTTCTAGCAAAAAAAAAAAAAAAAAATTGCATGCATAGGCCGCATTAATAAAACGTGTAATGTTGGATCAATTTCAAAAACGTCAGCATAGCGAAGGGTCTGAGCTTGACATTGTTATTAGAATACGCATAAAAATTAGTTTTGTATTCCAAGCACGTTGACGCTAAAATTGTAGTTTTCTTATTTCGTTATGTATTCGTTCTTGTTTAATTTGGGTTTATTTTTAGTAAAATTCTGAAATCTACATTCACATGACAAAGAATTTTACGTGCCTTGAGTGCGAGCGAGTCCATTAAGACAGTCTTTTCTAAATTTGATTGAGCTTTTTTCACACATTGCAGTCAAAAAAGTGTGTCTTACACCTTTATGAAGCAAGCTCGACTTTTTATGGACGAATTTTGAATCTCAGATCCCAGATCAACATAAAAAACTGAACTTTGCTGGAATAAACACAAATGAGAAGACGACGACGCGGAGTTTTTAAAGGCACGGGCTGTACATAAAAACATTCTCAAAGACATTCTTTATAATTGCAATACTTGAATTCTGAAAACTGAAAAAAGAAAAACACAATAAAAATGATGACTATTTATGGAAATAGCAACCAAATATGCCTCTTATGACAGATAAAATGGACTGTTCCAAGCCCCAAAAGGTGTCTGCAGCGCAGACGATACGTCGTCTTCTTCTTATAAAATTGCGCGTTAAAATCCAACAGTATACTTTTAGGTTTCACTGATTACAAGATTTCAAGAGCCAAGCCAAGCTATTAGCTACAGAACTTAGCGTGCGTTTATAAAAAAAAAAAGAAAATAATTTTAGCCACATACTGCAACGAAAAATACGAATGAAAAAAAACATTGAAGTTGGAAAAAGAGACACACGTGGACATTACGTGTGGATAAGAAGGACCGCGAGTCATAGCGTGCGGGGCACACAGCTGTCCCTGTAATGAACACACGGAGCAGCGGGCCATCATCAGCGCTTCGTAGCTTACGCCATCTTCCAGCCACAGCGACTGTAAGCATCACCATAATCAGCAACAGACTCGATAAGTTTAGTAAACTGTCGTATTTTAATTGTAAAATGTGAAAATTATTACATTTTTTTATGTTTATTAGAATAAACTCAAAAAGTTTTCCTTAATACCATTTGTTCACTGCAATTCTGTTTTAAAATATGGGTCGGTTATCACCTACTAAAATCAAAGATCTTATTTCAGCGTTCTCTGAATAGTACTTAGAAAATATTAACTAAACTAAATAACTTTTTTGTCCTATAATTCGTAAAATACACCTGAAAAGTGTGTCAGTTACACGTTAATTTTGGATTGATGGTTAAATGTCGCTGTTGTGGTTTTCCTACCACATCGTTTTGCACATGATTCAATTGGAGCTCAGCCAACTCTCGAGTCACAATAATAATGATCGCATAGCATTAATCATTTTATTACATTTTATTATAAGAAATTTGCCGTTAATGGAAGCATATTTGAAAACATTATTTTTTTAAAATGATGTATTATTATAAAGTACTAAGTCAGCCAACTCAGTGGTAAGCTACTATAGCTAGAAGTTTTTTCTTCCAACCACTGCCACTAACCGCTTTTCCTGACTTTTTGGCAAATCCTTGTACAATTTTATTAAATATCCTTGTAAATCCATTTAAATTTATTCATACATATTTTTGCCTGGACTTTTTCTCTGCTCTGCCTTGTACAGTGACTAAAATCCATTCTGAGTGCTTGGAAAGCATTGTGGGCTTAATATAATTTGCTCGAAAATTCCAAGAAAACATCCGAAAAATTTTAGAGAGCTAACTAATGTTGAAATTTATGTGTTTCGAGCTATACTTATTTCTATTTGTTTTGACAATTTTGAACGTCTTGACACACTTCCTAAGAATAAATTAATTTGACGAAAAGTAGTTCTGGCGTTTGCAGATTTAAGTAATTCGTTTAACAAATTCAGAAAAGTAACTTTTGACATTTTTTAATATTGTCTAGATAAAGGTGCTTCTTTTTTTACCTTCTCGTTTTAAATAGTTTTAACCAATCTAGTGCTACAGTTAAAAGTAGAGAGCGGATTTTATGAAATTTGCATATCCGTAATTTTTTGCATATAAGTCTTGATATTTAATATGTGAACGAATCATGCTAAGTAAAAATGAATACAGCTATAAAAAAAATTGCATATTTGCATAATATTTGCCTTCTGCTGCATATTTCACGCAACGGGTGCATATTTTACATTTTTATCAATTTTTGTGCTACTTTGAAAAAAAAAAATGATTGTCATTCGACCCGCATTTATCTAGAAAGACGAAATTTCATGAATCATATTGCAAATATTGCCGTGAGCTTCAAATAACTGGGAAAGGTTTGGGTTTTATGGTAATTTGGTGGAACCATTGGCTATCCTTCCAGGTAAATTCGGGTCCTAATTACTTTTGGAAATACCGTTCATTCCCAACATTTTTGTTCGTTACTTAAGTGTATTAATGATATGTTTTATGGTGGTCGAAGGGACGTTATCCTATTATTTTTCATCGTGAGTTTGCATTTAAGCATTTAAAGCGATAGAGGTGTGTCAGTATGTAGATAACTCAAATTAATTTATGGATTAAACCTTTTCTTGAACTTATTCTTCAAGAAGGAACTGTGTGTTGTCGCGCCTACTCTATCTAATCCGGTATGTATTTTTACATCTGTGGACGCAGTACGCAGTTTTTCTATTTACAAATACATACTTTAGAATCATCGGAAAAACTTTTTGTTAGAATATTTCGAAAAATATTTAAAAATAAATTGTTACCAAAATAGTAATTAAATAGTCGATTGCTACTATTTTTTAATTTGTTCTGTTTACCTATATTTATTTTTTAGTATAAGAATATTATCTTAAAAAATGGGATTTATTTGTCAGTGAGAAAGTGTTAAACACTTTGCAATGTGATTTATGTATTTTTTGTAATAAAAGGTAAGGTGTTTTTGCAATTTATAAATTAATTTAGTGCGGTTATTACGCTTTTTTTTTTATTTTTGGAACACATGCAACTGCATATCTCTGCATATATTAAGAAAGTTACTGCATATTTGCAGAAATTTGATGCATATCATATGATCATATTTTCCAAAATTTTGCTGCATATTTTCCGCTCTCTAGTTAAAAGTATATGATTTGACTTTATTTTTACTCTACACCACCCCTTCTTCAAACCTATTTGGGTAAAGGCTACAGGGGATTTTATAATTTTTGTATGGCTATTAACCAGACAACATGTAAAAATTAGTAAAAAAGGGGAAGAACAAAAGTATTAAATTTCTGTTTGTTGAACTTCGTCGTGGAGTTTTATTTGGGTCATCCTGTACATGTTTAAATAACATTTCTTTTCATTTTAACACGATAATGTTACATTGACAAAATTAAAGTATTTTTAAAGTAGTTGTTCTGACCATATCTAACATAAAAAATCTGTGTCTGTTTGGGACTGAGGTTTCTCTTATTATTTTATTTTACAAATCGATTAGCTTTGTTATGTGTATATACTTTCAAAGAGATGACAATTACTCGATGTAAAGACCAGATCACTTCTTAATTTTCATCAACAATGACAATAATTAAGTCTTGAATACACGAGCTGATGTTGAAATTTTCCTATTCTGAAACATTATATGCACAACACAATTTATAATAAAAGATCGGGTTTCATTTCAAGTATAAGTATTTCAGGATCGTCTAGACTTTAGACTACACCAGTAGGTGGTGCCAACCTAAGACTGTATAATTAACATATCTTTGTTCTCCTTAGTATCACACCGCTAACAAGGGTTCTCATATGGTATATATCGTATGCACTTAATTATTAAAAAGATACAGATTTTTTATTATTAGGTAATGGTATGAACACAAATCTGACATAAATGCGCTTTCGGTTCATTTTGTACAAATCACTACTCGTAAATGATAATAAATTTATATTCAATCTCTGCACTTGCCATCTTTTGGTCGATAGTCATTTGTCAAAGAATGGTTTTATTGCGTTAAACTGTCTGTTGTAAATTGGATTTATGTAGGTTTACGGATTTCTACTTGAAGCTTGCGAATATGCCGCAGGCTCTGAGAATTCTTTCGTTTATGAGATAAATCCATCTCCAGTAAAAAATTCGTTTCCATTTTTAGGCTAGAAGCAAATTAGTCTTGTTAGCAATTTGATTCATGAATAAACATTATTCTGAAATGTGTTGGGGAGATTGGACTTGTTAGAAGCTGAAGTCTAGCTCGAATCCACAATTAATTTTATCCAGCGCCAACAAAAAATGAATATGTATGTTGAAAAGCAGTTTTTGTCCACATACAACTAATGAAATTCTCCAAATTTTAAAACTATAATTAGTTCAAATCGAGTAATAAACAAATTTTTAATATAATTAATAATAGCATATTAATTTTTTCGATGCGTCATTAAAAAGAAGGCAACATGAAAAATGTCTTCTGGTTTTTGTTGTATAGGCTTAAATTTAGAACGATCATTATTCATCGTACAAAGTTCGTGTTTCTGTTATCTCAATTCTTCTACCTAGAAATAAATTGCACAATGAGCGTGAACATTACACAAATTTTCAACTGTCGGAGATATGTAACACCAACTATAAACCTTACTTTATCAAATAACAAATGGTAGAGTCTATATAATGATTTTTAGTATTAACTGTGGAATTATGTTGACAATTCCAAGTGCACGAACATTACAAATTTTACATTATAATCAATTACGATAAATTAGATTTTCAATACACTTAGAATTCACAACATTAATTCGATATGTTAATGTGAGCTGAAAATTCTTCTCCCTAAGAAGCTAATGCATGAAAAGCAAATATTTTTTCAGTAGGAATCTGTGAAAAATGTCGATGCAAAGTGAGTAATGTTTACACATAATGCTTTTATAATTTGTAACTCAATATGACATACAACCTCAAAACCCTGAATTTTGCAGAGCTGCTGTTTTCAGTTTAGAAAGAAAAATTAATCTGGAAATACATGTCATACATTTTTTGAATTAAGTATCATCCGGCAGCCCAAAATTTTGAGACATGCTTTTGAAAAGCATTAAATCCTAATTATGGCGCTTATTATGTAACCTCTATGACACTTTAGATGTGTCTAGGGATACAGGGCTTAAAATACACACGTTGCAGTTGGTTTTAACGCTAGCGTATTACATGAGATAAACCCTGACGGATTTCGCTAGAACAGAGAACAGCGTGGGTAGCACAAACTTCATAAAGTCGTTTTGAAATTCAAGTTTCTCAACCTGACAGTTTTACAGCTATATAGTGGTTAGGGAACGATACGCAAACAGACTTACAAAATGGTTATAAAAACGAATATGCTTACAAAAGCTGACACTCTTTTAACTTCAAAATTATTGTCTTTTTAATTTTCGTGAATATGTTATGTTGCAGAAGGTAGAAGGTTGCATTTTACCGTATCTAATATTAATATATATTTTTATTCTTCTTCATACCTTTTTTAAAATTAATTGTAAGCTGCTTTTAAGAAAAGTTTGCATCACATATCAAATGCACGTGTGATGAAAGCAAAGGTTTCACAAACTAAAAACAATGTTTTTTATTTAGAATTTCACAATCAATAGACTCCGGGGATTTACATATCATGTAAGTCAGTTAAGTTTTATGTAGTGATCCTTGTATAGGTAGAGAATAAGCAGGTTTCAGCGCTATTACTGAACAGTAATAAATCCATTTCGAATAGCATTGCGTATCCAACCTACACATAATTTATAGAAAAAAAATCCCTAAATTACGCATACCTACAAGTTAAAAAAATATGCAGTGCATTTTTGAGTTGAAATTGTTACTGGTAGTAATTTGGGTCATCTTCTGGTGATTTTATTGAACGTTATGCTTTAAATTAAAGGATATTTGTTTAATACTATATAAATCAGGGATTAAAAATATTTTTTTTGTTCCTGAGAGAATGGAAAAAAATTCTCGAGGGAACAAAAACGAGTTTAATCCCGTGTTATTTTTTCTATTTTTGCCAATATCGACAGATTTATTGTAAATCCAATTTGGAATTGCTTTGGTCGTTATTTCATCTCTGAAAAACTAAGGTAGGCTGCTCACGGTGTTATGATGACGCTTGTTTATTACCTTCAAAAAAAACTATACAGGGTTATGAGTTATGATAAAGTAATACAGAAAATTCATAAAAAGTGCAGTACATATTTCATTTGAAAAAAAAAAAAATGCAAACATATCAAGCTTTTTATTTTACTCTACATCTTTTGACATGTGTCAAAAAAGTTTTACGTCAAATTTGTAAAAGTTATGACGTCATTAATGATTTTTTTAAATAAGAATGTGTAATTTTGATTGCTTATTTTTATTATTCATTTTCTCCATTTTTTTATGTAACCCCCGCATCAAGCTACATTTTCATATGTAGAAAAATAAGCTTTATCAAATTATCCGATCAAAATTATAGCGTCCCATTTAAAAAAATTATTGATGATGTCATAATTTTCACAAAATTGACGTTTTTTTTTTATATACATATGTCAAAAGATGAAGAGTAAAATGAAAGGCTTGACATGTTTTTGCATTTTTTTTGAATTGCACTTTTTATGAATTTTGTGCATTACTTTACCATAACCCTGCATATTTTTTAATTCAAAAACACTTGATTCATATAATTAGTAATATGTTAAATCTTATAATGCTAAAAGTAATACTAAATTAGTTTAGTTCTCCTGATTTTAATCAATCAAAAAATGAAACTATATATTCGTACGCATTTTTTTTTATCAATATAATTTAATACTCAAGCTTCGACGGTTTGTAGCTATGGCTTTACCGAATAGATCTTTTTAACCTCAACTTGCAAAATTTTATTAATATACAAAATTAGCGTGCTGACATACTTTACAGCATTAAGTTCAAAACTGACCACTTTGAATTAACCGTTTTCTTATTGCCATTTATCTATTGCATACCAGGTAGTCTACTATAAAATTAGAAGTGTTGGTAGGTATTTAAACTATGCGAAGATTACTTTAAAAACACGTAAGTACTAGTCATTATTATAATCTGAATACACCGTTTAAATTAAATGAATAATTTGGTGTGCAATATTCATTTGAAAATGTAAAAAATATTTCAGTACCGTGTATCCCACATATACCGTTTGATTAAAGGCTGAAAGACACTTGTTGTTATTTTAAAAATTAAAACATTAAAAAACTTGATTTTATTGATAATATTCTTCGAACGTAGTATTTTAATTTCTAATCCATAAGTAATAAACTATATATTAACAAAGACGCACAAGTTTCAAAGCGATTCTATGTGACTCATTGTTTTAAAAATTAACGATGTTATTAAAACAATCTCAGGAATTGTAATGTGTCTGGCATGTTATTTTCTTCAAGTTGTCGTTCGCAAACATATAACTAATAAAAAAAAACTGTTTGAATTCATTTATGATTTTAAGTAATTTAAATTAAGTCAATTCCAATACAATAGCGACTATTAATATAACTTAATACGCAAAATAAATACGACAGTTTACTTTGAACTTCAATACCACTTTTATCGTCTAATAACATCATGACGAATATCATTTATAAAACAAACAACAAATAACAACACATGAATCAATTATGTAGCTTACGTATACCAACACCACTCACCTGCAACGAGGTATAACTATACTTCTTGGAAAATTTAAAACTCCGATCATGGTGTTCATTAACATGTCTATGTCGCAACAACAACGCTCTCATAATCTTCGACTTGTCTTCCTCTATGATGAGGTCTTCTTTGTACATTTCTTCAGAAATCCTATACGCAATGGCTGGCAACTCGTGCTCTTCCATGTCAAGAAGAACAACCCCATCTTCTAAACACTTCCTCAAATTTAACAAAGAGTGAAAACTCAAGGAAGCAACGTGCGGCTTTCCCCATCGGTCAACTCCTTCTTCCACATCTTCTTCGTACTTGATCCAACGAGCCGTTTCTTTCCATTCCCTCTCTTCGTTCGTGGCGAACAATTCATCCAATTCAACGAATATCTACATACGAAAAAAAGATAGATTGTCGTTTAAAATTCACATAATGCCGCTAACTTACAGCGTGGGGGCTGTGATCGTACATCTTTTTGATGGATGGGTGTAATTCGCCTCCTTCTTTCCGCCCAATGTGGACCATTGATGCATTGCTAGGTCGTGAAGTTTTATGCCTTCGGAGGCCGCGAGCATCGTCAGATCTATGACTATCCAGTTGATCCCTATCTGCCGCAATAAGTGGTAAATCTTCCGGTTGCGTGGAAATTCTACGACCCCTGTGACTTCCGGAAACATCACCTTTGTCGTGATGGTGACGCTTTCTGGGGCCAGGATCGTCGGGCAATGAATATTTACGAAATTTTGGATGATGTCCATGGTGATGGCGTCTAAAACAACAGTAAAATAATAAGGTGGGTATTTAGCACACACCTCGGTAGTGAAAAACATGCAATCAAATTCATTATTTTTCGTAATAAGTAGTAGAGTATTTGTAATAGCAATGAAGAAGTAATTGGAGTAAGCATCCGTAAGTTCGACATTCGTGACTGCAAAGAGATTCTACATTAGTTACAAAGAACCTTTTCATTTAATTAACAGGACTGTTTCACGGTATTAACCAGTAAAATTTATCTCCTTTGAATACTAATGCGACGTAATTATTATCTCATTTACCTAGGAGCGTAACTGTATAATGTAATTTGGCTATTACTGGAGCAAGTAACGTAATAAAAATATGTACGTAGAAAAATCTTAAGATGGTGGGATAACACTGATGAGTCGAACCCCAAACGACGTCACCCTGAGTAACATCATAAATAATGCGAATTTGATCTTTTTCTTATGATAAAATCTAAGACATAAAATAATAATAGGGTGATTTAATAAAGTAAAAATGCGATTTTCTTAATAAAATTTTGTGCTTGTGTTAGTCGCCTTTTTGGTATAGATAAATATACCAATTTGGATAGGTACAAGGTGGTACAGTGTACAATACTAATAATAACCCTAATTAGTATACAATACCTACTAATAATAACCCCACTGTAGATTTTGAAGAAAATGAAATAAGTCGTTTTTGATTTAAGCAATAAAATAGTCTCGTTCATTAATTTTCTAGTATAGCTTTTATGTACAATTTAAAAAAATTGGAGTGTGTTTTATGAAAATTATATCCATGATAGACTTCAAGAGTGTACAAATTTTAGCGCAGTCTATTCTCTAGTTTCTAAAATAAATTGTAAAATTTTGTTTTACGTACTAATTTGTAACCGCAATGTTAAAAAAAAGGCCCAGATTTTTTGAAATGTGTATTACAAAATTTGATTTTGAGAATTTTAATTTTTTATGGTAACCCATACAAGTTAAAATAAAGATAAATGTGTAGTGTTAAAGTAAAGGTAAAGAAGCACGCTAGGCGTATGTTTCAAGTGAGTTTTTATATTACAAAATTTGGTGATGACGTCATCAATTTGGTGAGAGGAAGGAGGCAAACGGTAAATTATGATCAACGATTTACCATGCTTAAGATAACCATAAAACGTGTACATGATTCCAGAGTCTTCAGTTTCGCACTTTCAAAGTTAAATTGTAAAAGTGTTGTTATACAATTTTGTTTTGTTTTACATAAATCTGATGTCTAGAGTAAAAATTCGCAAGTGTAGGAATATGTTATTTACTAAATAATTGGTAATACAGCAGTTTCGGCGATGACTTTTCTAACAAAATCGCTAACAGACAAGAAACATAGACAGAGACACAAACAAGGGCTGAAACGCAAAACCTAGTTTTTTAAGTTTTACTAGGAATTATACAACATCGATATGGATGAAATTAGCCAGTGGTCAACTGGACTCTATTATAATACTTTGCAGCTTACGCTCGGGAAGTAATTAAAAGTTTGATTCACTAATTAGACATCGTATCTGTTAACATAGCGACGATGTGATGTCATTAAATACATGTTTTTATAATGAAACTGATTAGTTTTAGTTCTCAAGTGTAATCTGGAGAAATATTGTAATAGGGTTTATTTGAGGAGTGGTTAATTTAACACATATTTTTCTTGATGTTTCACATTTTCTAGAATATGAAAAATTAGGTCGTTTATTGACGATTTTATTAAACAGATAATATCCAACATTAATGCTCATGAGTAAGAAGTTGTAGGTGTACTTTAGAAAATAATATTAAATACGACTGTTTTCGAGAAAAACGAAACGATAGTTGATACATTAATATTTTTGGAAATTCGCTGTAACTAGTTATAAAAACAAAAACCATGTTAATAAAAAATACCACCTGTTATCATTGTTGAAATATTACAAATTTTTTGGTGTCTTGTCAAAAATTTTAAACAGATCCTGTATTTTCAATAAAATACATAAATTATTAATTGTAATTAATATTACACAGTAAATAAATTAACCAATAGCAACCGAAAGCAAAATTAAATTTATATTTTCTACAAAAGATGCTCAAAATGCTCTCCATTTTATTTCCTGGCAGTGAAAAAGACGCTGAATAAAATTTTGTGGTGAGTTAATGAGAATTTCTGGACGAATGCTAGTAATTTCGTTATGTAGTAAGTTTTCAATGTGAATTGGTCTAATGATATAAACGCGATTCTTCAAATAGCCCCACAAAAAAAGTCAAGCGGTGTCAAATCTGGTAACTTGGTAGGCCACTCAATGGTACCCCGTCGGTCTATCATCTGCTAGGAAAAGGTTCATTTAAGTACTGTCGCAATTGACGTCCAAAATGGGGTGGAGCACCGTCTTGTTGAAACCATATAGTTTCTGCTGGTAACCCCGGATTTTGATAATTGGGACACAATTCTCTAAGTCTAGGCACTATACGTTCCCGTAACAGCCTTAAGTATCCCCCAGAATTTAAATTTCCATTAATAAAAAATGGACCAATTACATGGTAACCAATAATACCGCACCACTCAGTTAGATGCAAGAAACATCTTAAATGTCAAATTAAAATTATAAAGGTAACTATGTCATCTTTCTTTTTTTATTTATTTATTCTTATTTAAAATAATTTATTTTGCCATTTCAATCAGAAAGAAAGTATGATTGTGTTATATCAATGAATTCAGAAAAAAAAATCAAGTTGGCCTTGTATCTCAAAAACAAATGAAGCAAATTTTTGACAAATAATTGAGGCACAATTTCTTGTACATACTCCTATACCTAATTTCTGGTGATTTGTACAATTGGTCAATGTATTTAACCGTTTCCATACGTTCCAGCGACCCTCTATAAAATTTGATTCTACAAAATTAATTTTTCGTGAAAACCCCTCATTACAGGGGTCAAGGTGACACGTTATGCTGCACGTTTGAAATGATGACGTCATTAACGTTTCAGTGGGGTCAAAATATAACAATTTTGTTACGTATAATGTAACACTAGTAACGCAAAAATTCACAATCAATCCAAATAGTTTAGGAGATTAACTGTCTAATCAAATAGAAATGGAAGAGCGACATTTTCGTATTGTAGGCACAAGTTGTAAGACGTCGAGAAAACATTTGTCAAAATGACGCTTACTCCCGGGAAATTAAAATGTATAAATAGAAAAACCTCATATAAACAACAAGAGTTCTCTACATTTCCACTAAACCAGAAGTGCCAAAATCAATTTGATTATATTTATAACTAAAATTTTTATTATGGTACTCTGCATACTTTATAGATATACCTACTTTGCTTGGTATTTAAATCATTTGATTCTTCATTAAACACAAAACACTGTACATGTTAGTGCCAATTAGTAGGTTCACATAAATAGAACCATAAAATAAAATAAGTTTACAATCATGAGGTAAAACGTAGCTATTCCTGAAACTAAACCAACGCTTTCGGTGTCTAATCGTTAAGTCACTAATAATTTTTTATTTTCTCTAGACAAAACTAAACTGAATAAGTGAATAGGCTGGACAATGTTAGTGTTTTCAGTGCTGTGGGGTAATAAACATTATAGTGTTACCGTGCACCGAGTGATCAACGAAGATTCCTAACATTACTGTGTTTTAAAAATTCCAGCGAAACTACATGGAGCTCTTCTGAAACAATAGAAAAACTTGGAAGTGTCAAGGATCGAAACCGGGAACCTTTCACATACCAAGCGGACACCCTAGCATTATCCGTTATACGCCAACGACGTTGATTAATATTTTATGTTTACAAACTCAGCTCGTACGACAAATAATAGAACAATATAGCCATAACAAAGAATAAAATTTAATCAATATTCTGTAGTAATTAAATCGGGGCTGTTTATTACTTAAATAAAAAAAATGTTATGTACATAGGTCCTACGCCAAATTGTAAAATGTCGTTTTAATTTCATATTTATATCTAGAGATTGAAAATTTTGTGATAACATACGAGTACAGGTTTTATTCGCCATGAAAAAAGTTTACAAAAATATGGTTACATCATAACTTTGTCAAGTAAGCACTTATGAACATAAAATTTTAAAACCTTTCTCGTCTCTCAACGTGGTCTTAACTTAAGCAGATTATATAGAACTTTCCTCACGAATAATATAATATGTCATTTTATGTTTAATCAATAAAATAATCTTCATTCATTAACTTTTTGGAACATCCTGTGTAAACAATTCTAACAAATACGAGTAATTACACCTAAGAAAGCATGCATTTCAAATGACACTTATTCTACAAAATTTTGAGATGTCTAATAAAATCGCCAACGGACGATAGACAGACTGACAGACCGAAAGAGGAAACGCTGGACTTACTGCTTCATATTCTAGGAGCCATGATTGATTCGACAGGTTGTTGGTAACAATTTATTTTAACATTTTAAGTGTAGTAATGTAGTAATATCTTATACAAGTTTAAAAACCTATTTCAAAATTATTGATTTTGACGACCAAATTTTATGACAATTTATGTCAAGTATTACACAATAGACTTATGATATGAGCACACCAATGAGTTAGGATTTACTGATTAGAATACATACTGAAAAATATAATTGAAATTTAATTATTCGTCTTATTTACGAAATCGTGTCTTTTTCTTCTTGAAAAAATCCTACCAGAACAAATTTATAGGTATTTTAGGGATTTGTCTTTATTACTACTATTGTTGTTATTCTTTACCCGCTCACCAGAGTACAAAAATTACAGTTACAGGAATCCCACTTGTCTCTCATAATCCTAACAAGAGCTTAAACATAATTGAAGTCGTGTTATCATTAACTAATTAAATGATAAGATCCTCCGCTATTAAGTAAGTTTGCAGTTTCTGAATCCGTCTTACTATCTTTTTCATAGTACTTACTATTATTATTAAATTTGTTAAAGCATATATTGCTATTAACTAATCCATAATTAATAATATTATCTC